AATGATCGAAATGGTCCTTAATGTATAGGATTTGGACTATTTTGGTCCTTATTATATATTAAGTGATAGTAAAGTCTTTAATGTATATAAAAAGTGTATGGACCCTAAAAACTAACGGTACAAAGCAAATATAATGTTAAATTTAACCTACACTTTCATCAGTAAGAAAGCGAATGAAAGTGCCGAGCCCACATGACATTGAGTCAACTCGATTGTGTAATGGCTCAATCGATCATCGGTTTCTATGCTGATGAACTTGACCGGAAAAATTTCTTAAATGGGTTTTTAGACCATGTCCCTATGAGTTTAAGCATATAATGCCAGTAGATGTGAAGGAAATTTTAATGCTTGGCAACCCATTAAATTGAATCAAGAATCTGAGATTAGAATTGGTTCTTGTTGCAATAGTAACTCGGTATTTGTAGCCAAGTGAAGACAAAACTCGGATATCAAATTTTAGTGAAAGAAAGCAGTAGTTGTCTATGTTTCTTTTAATTGACTCAAGTTAAGTTTAATAATATATTTGCTTTGTACCGTTAATCTTTAAGGTTGGGATTAAAATTATATACTTTTTATATACATTAAGTACTATTACTATAATTTGATATATAATAAGGATCAAAATAGTCTGACACCTACATATTAAGGACCATTTTGATCCTTTCCTCGTATCAAACCAGTCAATCTTTTAAAGATTTTTTCCCTTTGTTCTATTACAATTTGCCGTCATGATTAGCTACATGATTGTTCCACGTACACATATTCTTCTCTAGCTTTTGCATTTTCTTTCTGTTTTGATCGGATTTACTTTGTGTGGTTGATTTTTGCTTCTTGTACTTGAATATAGGTAGACTGCTTCTTGCTAATGTAAGGCATTCAAGATGATAACTTAAAGTTTAATTACTTGATCGAAAAAAGAACTGTATTTGGTTTTTATACATGCTTGATTACGTACAAATAATTTATTTATATTGATTTTGGTATTGAAGAAAAATGTACCAATCATGCTACTAATAAATTTGGATCCTTCAAACGGCTTATGCAATGTTACCTAAATAATATGAAGAGGTTTTGACAACAACGTTATACATGCAGAAATACTGATAGGCCAAAATGCTTCCAAGCATGTGTTATTCCAAGAATTCAACTTTCACCTCCATTTTTAAATTCATTAGAAAATAATTTTCAGTGCTTTTATGTTTTTCGATGACAATAAATAAAGTATGGGGTCAAACAATCCCCAACGTTGGATTGTACTTGCTGCGACATATTTTTTCACATGGACAACTATAGATGCACTTTCAAGAGGTATATCGATATCAACAACAAGAGTTTTGATCATGCTAGATCAACAGAAGAAACAAAGAGGCACATACTCCAAGCACATTGTCTACAAAACGATATTAGGTGAGATACAACAATATATAATATTATTAACTCTTATAATATATTACCTATAATTAAAAAAGCTATACATATCACGACCTTAACTAATTTTAGTGTTGACGTTTGCAGGTTTAGAAGATATTCATCATAATTTGAATTCATTTATTACATAAATGTAATTACACTCATTTTTACATTTCAATTTCATGTTGAATCTATTTGGACAATTACTATTACACATAGTTCATTTACATAATATATAATTCTCTTACAAACAGACGCGACTTACACGTGAAATGCACGTACCCTAAAACTAGTATAGATTATAACTCTATAATCAATGACCCATGACCAAATAATTATATCTTAGGTTTGATATTTTTTACGGCAAACACACGCATGAATGAGGTTATATTACATGTTCATAACTTCCAATTTAAATAAAAGAGATTTCGGAATAAGTAATTTTCAATATATAAAACTTACTGTTTTCATATAAAAATAATATAATATAGATTACTCGTACTCCTAAAAATTTAATTTATTCACTTTGATTTTATTGCTAAAAAATCAAGTATTATTTAAATTTATCAATAATATTTTTGAGAGTTATTAAAATACTCTCACATTACCGTTATAATATAGATATTTTATTTAAGATCTTATTTTGCTTCTTGATTTTTTTTTTTAAATTTTAAAGTTATAAAATATTTATTATCTTAAGTAAATTTATTTACTTTATGTTATACTTTAACTTTTCCCAATATATAAAATTATTTTAAAAAAAAGGACAGCCCGATACACTAAGCTCCCGCTATGCATAGAGTCCGGGGAAGGACCGAACCACAAGAGTTTATTGTATGCAGACTTACCCTACATTTCTGCAAGAGGCCGTTTCCACGGCTCAAACCTGTGACCTCCTGGTCACATAGCAACAACTTTACCAATTACGCCAAGGCTCAATATATAAAATTATTGATTTCCTTAAAATATATAGATAGTTAATTCTTTTTAAATTCAAATTCAAAAACAACTGTTCAACTGACGATATTATTTAATTTAGCAAATTATTTAGTTAATTATTTATTCCCNTACCACATTAGTTTTATGCTCGTGGAACCATATTTTGGGACTACCGCGTTGCTATTATTTAATTTAGCAGATTATTTAGTTAATTATTTAATAATTTAGACTTGGAGTAATTATTTTTTTAATTTTCAAGTTTAATAAATAATTTTAAAAAATGCCCAAAAAATGTGAGAGTTCCATGTTGTAGTTAACTGAATTGGAAGGTTTAAATCTTTTAAAGTTGTTTTCTATTTTAAATTATTTTTGAATCTCTAAATTTGTTGGAGGGTTGTCCTAAAATTTGACACCTATTGAACTTTGGTTGTGCCACTTTGCTTTCTAATATTATTTTGTCTTTCTTATTCTATATAGAAGATTTTATGCTCAACACTTGAAATATGAGTTATCCTCTATAAAGTACACATGTGTCCAAGGACTAATAATATAGATAATAATAACTTAGCTTGTTCGATAATATTTTTCTTTAAAATTCAGATGCAAAGCCACTTTAATCCATATTCTTAAAATGTACTGTCTCAAAAATATACGAGATATTTTTTTTTTAATTTTTTTATCTAAATAAATCAAATAATTATGAAAAAAAGACTAGCTTGCGGGAAGAAAAAAAAAAGACTCATCATAATAAAATTATACCCAGTTAAAAGCTAGACTTTAGCTTATGACGAAAATGAGAAAAAAAAAACATAAAAGAAAGAAACTGAAGCTTGACTGTTGCATTTTAATCTGCAATCTCAATAAGTAGAGGTGTCGAAGATGGCAAATCTAAGTAGCATCAATTCTAAAAATTCACTTAAATCTGTACCAACTGGGTCATAATATATTTTTATCATACAAACAAAAAGTAATTTAGGTATCCGGATTACATATCTACCCCAAATTTAGAAAGAATTTTATAAATTATCCCTACATTAAATTAGATATTAATATGGAGTACTTATTTTAAGTCAATTCAATGTACTGTACCTTGTTTATAACATCCCACAGTTTGTTCTTATCCAATTCTCCTTTGCCCATGTTCAAGTCACATGATCAAACCAACAGAACCACCATAAAATATTCACATTTTCCTCTATATATTACTCTATCCAATATCCACATACATAACTCATTACTCAAAAAAATATCAGTATCCAAATGAAGAACACTTCAAAAGGTTACAAGATTAGCCAAAAATCAGGCCAAGATGCAAGAAAGGACAGAAGATCTGCTACTGGAATGAATGGATCACCAAAAAAAGGTGGCCATGGTGGAAAGTTTACTTGGGCTGGTGATGGGAACTACTCAAATGATGAAATTGGTCAGGCCAAGAAAGTGGCTATTGATGCAAATGATCCAAATTTTGATGAACCAGAAGAGAATCAAACTGAATCTTAAACCTGCAACTTTGTTGAAGATTGACTTGAATAATGATTGGTTTTGTTTTATTTTTTGAGATGTAAATATATGAGCATATGCTAATGTTATGGTGATGTATGCAGATAGAAGGAAAAATAGGAAGGGATCTGTTATCTGTTTGTCACCTTGTTAGATAAATAAAGATGCCTTTTTCATTCTTCTCAATTTAGTATCTGTATTTACACAAGGTCCGAAAAATGACTGTACTTGAAGGTTGTGATGTAAGCGTTCTACCTGATTCGAGTAGCATTAGTGGCTAATTCTAAAGCTTTCTTTAAAGCTCCTAAACTCTTGATATGCAGATTTGGATTGGTCTTCGATAGAGAGCATTATATCCTTCATGTGTGAATTTGGATTAATCGGGCCAATAGATTTCAGAGTTAGGTCAAATGTGCGAATTTGCATTAGTCAGTTCAATAAATTCGGAACATGGAATAGTTGAAGGAAAACAATGTGTATCATCATTTTGGTAAAAATTGGATGTAATTATTATAATCATTTGCTGTTAAATGTAGTTTTATCGCCACTGATTTGAATTTTGTCTGTTGAAGATAGGTATTGCAGCAGTGCTCTAGGATTGTAATTCTGTAAAATTAGAGAGCCCTGTTCATAATCCATGTAAAAATGAACTCCTAAATACTTGCATTAGCAAAATTAGAGTTTAGAAGAAGGCAGCCCGGTGTACTAAGCTCTCGCGATGCGCGAGGTCCGGGAAAGTGCCAGACCACAAGGGTCTATTGTACACAGCTTTACCCTGCATTTTTGCAAGAGACTGTTTCCACGGCTTGAACCCGTGCCCCCATGATCACATGTCAACAACTTTACGAGTTACGCCAAAGTTCCCCTTCCAAAATTAGAGTTAATCAGTACCAATTAAGTGTCTAGTTGAGAATCAGCCCTTAATTTATGTTTAATAATTGATGAAGCCTTGTGCAAAATTCTTGCATTTTATTAGACATTGACAAGTTAAGATTTTAAACTTTTTGTCACTGATGGAGAAGTGTGTCTGACTTCACAAGATATACAACAACTATGACTCAATTCGAAATAAGTTGAGTTGGTTATATGAATCATTATTGACCCCGTCGTTTCATTTAAGCTCACTCAAACTAACATTATACAAAATGAACTTAAAAAATAAAGAGTACTAGAACTTTTCTATATTTTCTACTGGCGTCTCTGTTGACTTAAGAATCCACTTTTGATCTTTAGTAAAATTCACAACTTTGTTTAAGACCAAGCTTGTGAAACCATACAACTTCTTGTTTCAAAAATATTTAACGCAATAACATTGTAAATGATACAACAAAGATTCACGTTAGTCGACCACTGAGGACTAGCGATGCTTGTGTGATGGCACGAGCAACTCGCCAAACTTCATGTTGTACAGAACGCCACGAGTCTGTAGAGTCCAGGCTCTTCGCTCTCTCAATAGCATCAGATATACCGGGGAATGAGTTAGACCCATAATCGTCGTGCCTTGATGGTGCATAAATCTGAGTAAAAAATTGCAGTAATTAAATCCAATGTATATGTCATGAGATGGATAACTATGTTATATCATTTAGTATGTGAGCAAGGTTGAAATAAGACTTACCAAATGTTTATACCATGTTCTTGAGGAAAGCCCGTCTTTATCTGTGAATGCTCGTTCTGTCATTATTAGTCTATCGTTCAACTCTCTCACCGATGCCCAACTTCTTTTGGCTTTGAGTGCCTACAAGTCGATGTGTTTGTTAACTCCATGCGCGCAGTTTAACTATTACTGTTGAATTGCGCGATCACCTCATCTAAAATCTTAAGCTGTTAGAAAGATTACGCTTGAATTACCTATATTAGCATGTCAATGTATTACATTGATCTCTATAGTAGAACTCATTTTGTACCTTTACGTCGTCCTCAATTTTAATGGCTGCTTTTCGGAGTTTCTCAATAGAAGCATACAAGGGAACAAGTGAAATGCCATTTTCTGATATTTCAGCTTCCAACTGTTCTGCACTTTTCTGTTTCATGAATATTGCTAACATTAGGTTGCATTTTAATTGTAGCTAAAAGGACAAGGTAGTAATGCACTTGCTTTTGAGAAAGAATCCAAGCTATTTACTTGTACCTGGAGCTCATACGCATAAGTTAGGTAATTAAAAGGCAAAACTTCATCATCTGCAAGCCGAAGTGCTAATAAACCCCAAACGCTTGCCACTGTAAAAATATAGTAATAAATTAGATTGATTCAGGATGACATCTTAGTTGTGTCATCCACATAGGTGTCAAACAGGCAGGTCGGACCAGATATAGGCCGACCTACTCATATTTGATACACAACAACAACAAACCTAGTATAATCTCACAAGTGGGGTCTAGGGAGGGTAGATAGTACGGAGAACAAGGTAAAAGAGAACAAGGCGAAAGGAGCAACATGAAGTGATAGAAATTTACAATATTTGATACGAATAAAAAATGGGTTGAATGACGGATAATATGGATAATTTGGGAATACCGCATATTTGCAACATATGTTATTTGGGAAAAGGCATAACGAATACGAACCTGCTACATGCCTATGAAACATCGGGTCTCCAAATTTCTTCATCCACACAAAATCATCATACATTGAGTGGTAGACTGGGTAACCTGCAGTCGAACGATTAATGTACTTAAAACTTGTAGATGCTCGCCGATATGGTGATATGGCTAGATTCTTTAAGAGGTGCAATGCTAGTAATTTAGCTGCTATTTCAGGCATTGCATCGTAAATGCTCTTTTATATTTTAGTAGTATGTTGTACCATTAGCTTGATGCCTATATTTTAAGCAGCTTCTACAGTTTCAAACTCTGTCAATCTCAGCTTACAGAAAATAACTGAACATGCTTTTTCCAGGGAACTAATATATTTGTTACCATCGCCAAAAGACAGGTCGAGTGTTGGAACGCCAATGTGTTGAACAAATGCCGCGTAATCTGATCCAGCTCCTCCTAATCTCCCGAGCTTCATTAAAAACGATTATCAGGATTAGTATGCCTTCCTTTTTCAGAGTTGTATGCTCTTAAATGAACTTAGGTAAGCATTTTACATTCTCACCTTTACTGTCGTGTCGTTGGAAGAGCCGAGCCATGATTGGTAGATAGTCTGTGTGGAGTTATCGGGATCTTTTACCTTTTAAGGAAGAAGTTAGTTCAAGATGAGTCAGAAGTTACAATACATGTTCAAACTAATCTGCACTTTACTTGCATGTTTTTGGAGTTTCTTGTTTTCAAGATAAGACATGAATTGGTGACAGTAAAATAGGCGTCGCATTATTGTATTAGTCTGCTCAGGGACGGAGCTAGAATGCGGGATACGGGTTCGGCCGAAGCAGCTTTGGTCCAAACCTTGTATTTGTCTTAAGAATTCCATTGAATATGTACAAATTTTCCATTTAGAAGCCAGTAACTTAAACAAACTAGAATCCCGCACCCATAAACTTCAAATCCTGGCTCCACCTCTGAGACTGCTTGACATTTTTTCTTTTGAAATAATTAGGAGAATACCTGCTGAGCAACTTGTATGATTAGTTCATCCAGCTGAGGGGTTGCAGAGGCTCGAAAATTTTTCGCTTGAACTGCACAATCAACGTTCAGGTAGGCAACGACCCTTGACGCTAGCATTTCCCTATTTTCTTCAACCCATTCTGTTGAACCTATCTGAAACGAGCAATTTGGTAAAAGTTACTTAATTCCATGTCTGTTCTTGTTACGCGAAAGCTTTGGTTTTGAGTATAAATATGCTTTTGTGTATTTAAAAGAAGAGGGAGAGAATGACCAGGCCGTACTCCTCAGCGTCCCAGTTGCATAACACGATTGTTCTTCGCGGTCTCCATCCTCTTTTCTGCAGCTTTTCTAGCCTTTGTACAATCTGCATGAGCAAATCAGGTAATCAGTTATATATGTACATTACATGTTTGATGCACAAAATATATCCTTGAGATTTTAGGCAACTGATAGGGTAAGTTTTACTGAGAAATAATACCTCAAGTAGGGCTGCTGTGCCACTATTGGGATCAACAGCTCCAAATGTCCACGCGTCGCGATGATTACCTAGTATAACAAACCTGGAAAAAATCTTCCCTTAAGCGACACAAACATTTCCTAGCAGATAATTTTGGCCGCGTTTTATAAATTTTCCTTTGTTTTATGGTAGTATTTTATCTTCTTTGTGGATGCTTGCACATGAATCAGCTAACTCACCAATCAGTCGATCTACTACGCCTTAATCCCTGACTAGTTGGGGTCGATTATACGAATTAATTCTATTCATTCATTCTGTCCTATTCAAACAGGCCAGTTTCTCTAATACTGAATAAATTTTATGCATTTCCAGGATGTGTACTGAAGTCAACTAACTCATGAAAATTGTAAGTTAGAGGAGTACCGATCAGGTTCTTCTTCTCCTTCTATAACTCCAATAACATTTTGAATTGTCCTTATGACCTGTTGTCCCTGCAAAACTAACATCCATTCAACAACCCCAAATTGATTTATAGACTAGAACTCATGTTGCTTTCAACGGGAAGGATAAACCATCCGGTATTAGAAACTCATTGGCCCGACTAATTCAGATTCACGCCACATAGGGCCAGTAAAGGGGTTAGCCGTTCCCTACCAAGAGTTTCTTCATTCTGAGGACTCGAAACCGAGACCTCTAGTTAAGGATGGAGGGACTCCAACTGTCCCACCACACCCCTTGTTATATACATAACACAACATATACAAATGACAATTACTTCTGATGATGAGTTACAAAACCTTAGTCTTTCTCATACTTACTTCATAAGAGAGGTTAACAATTGCAGGTCCTGGACCTACTCTATAAATAGGACTATCTTTTCCTCCTTGCCAATCCACATTTGCTTCTTTTCCACCAATACTCCTTATAATTGCATCTCCATCAGCCGAAGAAATTGGCAATGAAGGTATCAACGGTACGTTCCCCGAATCATCAACTTCTTCATTTGATAATCTCTCACATTCTCCAGTACTAGGCCAACCTGGTGTAGTAGGATCACCAGTTCCATCATACACTGATCCAACTTGAACTCCACTCGGGGGCATCCACTTATCGTCCGGAAACCATTTTGCACCACCATAGTCCTTATCAGTAAAAATTAACACCCCAATTGCACCAGCAGCATAAGCATTATGTACAATGTCTCCCCTGTATATCTTCCCATATCTAGCTAACACAACAGTATAAGATACATTAACTCCCATTTCTCTCAATGTTGCATAGTCCTCCACGCGACCATAATTTGCATATACCACAGGACCATTTGCAGTGCCTGTTGAAACCAAGATAATAAAATCTTCAAATTTATTAAAATGAAATATCTTCAAATAAAAAAAGGCAGCCCGATGCACAAAGCATTCCGCATTCACACAGGGTCCGGGGAAAGGCCGCAGCCCAAGGGGGTGTGACGTAGGTAGCCTACTCTCATTCCACGACTCGAACCCATGACCTATAATACTATTAGAGAACCTAAATAGAACTGCTTGGAGCAGGGTCCGGGGAAGGACCGCAGCCCAAGGGTATGTGTTGTAGGCAGCCTACCTTGATTCCCCGGCTCGAACCCATGACCTATGATATTATTAGAGAACCTAAATAGAACTTGCTTGGCTCAGAAGCACGTAACAACGTTTCTTAAAGATAGCTAAAGCCTCCTTCACGAGCAAATAGAAGAAGAATAATAGCACTATCTCCGGTATTCAACTAAACCACACAAAAGGTAGCTTCAAGAATATTGCTCCTCTTCTTGAATCTATTATTTCGCCTTCTAATCAATGTCTCTCTCAAATGTTTTTCAATTGAATTGCTTATGATTTCCGAAGAAACCATCCCTATTATAGGCTTAAGTACTCTTAAAAAACTTAAAATATCAATAAACAATTCGGTGCACTAAGCTTTCACTATACACAATATCGGAGGAAGGGCCGGACCAAAATGGTCTATTGTACGCAGCCTTACCCTGCATTTCAGCAAGAGGCTGTTTTCACGGCTCGAACTGTGACCTCCCGTCACATGACAACAACTTTACCAGTTACGCCAAAGATCCCTTCCTAAAACATCAATAAGCAAAATGTATTTGTCAAAACCAAGAATGAATTAAAATAATTCCTCAAATTCATTTTCAAGATTCATGAGAAATACAATACACCTGAATATAGTGAAATAAAATCCATCATTTCAAATATTTGGAAACGTAGTCTAATATACCTGATCTTGCATAAGCATGGAAAGTAGGTAAAACTTCATTTGCAACATCTGCATATGGATCATTCTCATAAATCTCCTGAGAAAGACCAAACTCTATTGGTTTTTCTGAAGAAGAAGGTGTAAGAATTAAAGACCTTGAGACAGGATAAGTTAAGGCAACATCATAGGATGTTACATGTGATTTTATGTTGTAAGAAGTGAGAATTAATAAAACATAAGCTGCTGCTTCAGCATTAGCTTCAGAACCAGCAACATGGGGTCTCTTAGTTAGAATAAAAAGATGGTTTGCTATAGAAGAATTATCAGATAAAGAATCAGATATGAATAAAGAGTGATAGTAGGATTTTGGAGGGGAAGGCAAGAAAACAAAGGAAGTTGAAGTGGCTATGGCTATGAAACTGTAAATTGCTAATTTGTACATTTGAATTAGGTTCTTTGGAATTTGCCAATAGAATTTTACAAAGATTATAGTTGTGGATTCTAGATTTTTTGTTGAAATGGTGTAAAGGTGAAGTGGGAAAGAAAGTTGATTCTTTTGTGGTAGTGATTTTCAATGTCACAATTGTCTGTTTTGGAGTTTTTTTTTTGGTATGACAACAATCTTAAAAGCGATAGAAATGATTATTGGATCGGAAAATTATACTGAGCAAATAGAATATATAATAATTGTTGTATTTTTTTGAATTTTCTTGTTAGAATTACTGATTCCGCCACTGTTTAATAGGTATATCCCCATTTATTTTAGTGAATCAGCTTACACCAGAATTTTATTTTATTTTTGGTTAATTGATGTTTATCTTTTCAAGGTAGTTTCAGAAGATGTCATAAAGAGATGTTAGGATTCTTGGATGTATATGTATGTGTTTCATCAAGAGGGACCAAGGCTTGGGCCTACAAAATAATATAGACATTACTATATTTTATGCTGGGATGGAGTGAGAATTTAAAGTGGATGATTTCTAAATTTATAACAGAGGAACTCTTCGGGTTTGTCTAGTTGATTTGGAGGGCGGTCATTCATACGGATGACGTGGGATCGATTCTCTCCTTAATGCTTTCTGAGTTGAACCTGTCGCATAAAAATTGCCTAGTGTGGTTTACATTTCCTGTGCGGTTTACACATGAAGTTACTAGGTTTGTAATTAAATATTTATATATATTTAATAATTTTTTTAGTACAAAATACAGTATTTAAACAAAAGTGACTGATTCGGCCAAACCGGACCTTCTCATTTAGTCGATCTTGATAGTCAGAATACGAGAAGTTTTGAGTTGACAGAGCGAAACCTCTAATACTAAATGTATAGCGGATTCTAAATATATAAGATTATGACATTCGAATTAATATATCTTAGTATAAAGGAATCAAATCAAAAGTTTCCTATTCAATAAGAGTTAATTAAAAGGAAATCAGGTTATTTATAGCTAATTCAAACAAAAAAAATGTAATGAAATTTAATAGAATCTTTTGTTTATTTTTTCAACTTTAAGAAATCAATCAGTATTGGGCCTGAGATGTTTCCTTGTGTTGGGCTTGACTTATAAAAGTTGGAAAGATCTGATATATCTAAAGTTTGCTCATTAATCAGAGTTCGTATTCCCTTTTTGGTTTTATTCGATCATTGTCAGTTTAGCCTAATTTTGTAATAGTAATTTGGCATGGTAAAATTGGGATCTTGCACCCAGTGTATACATAAATTATATTAATTTATTATGATTAAGTAAAAATTAAGTTGATAATATATATGTGTAGATTAAATATAATTTAATAATAGCAATATATGTAAAGACATATATTCTGCATTCATTTGTTTGATTTAACAATCGCCTTTAAATAAACAATATATTTAAATAAAAGTATCTCATTACGTGATATTGCTTACCCGTAAAATGATACAATTGAATTTATATGTGATTTCTAGATAAGTGAATTAATTCGATCTTGAAATAAATAAATAATCGAAGAATTGCACAATACCTAGCCTTAGGATATAGACGAAACATCAGAAGCAACGATTCCGGGAATAGGGTTTCCGGGCACAACAACAAAGAATATCAAGAAATAAGAAGATAAGATTGGATTGAGCTTTGTATAGAGTATAGCATAAGTTTGCCAGAAAATTCGTGTCATTTACAATGACAAATGAGCTCACTATTTATAGCTATGAAGAAGGTCCTAGGGTCGTGCCCTTCTTTAATGTCAATTATGAGGGGCATTGATGAAGATATAACGGTGAACATAAATGCCAAATTCCTTGTAACGAGTAACTGCTCTTAATGCCATGGAATATTCTATGTTAAATGCTACCGGAAAAAGAATATTTATCCCATCTTTATGAGCATTATTATTTCTGGTGACAAACGAAACAGTTTTCTTCGGTCTTTAGCCGTCCCCTACCTTGTGTTCCACGTGTCCCTTTCTCGGACGGCCACGTGTCATAGCATATTTTAACCTGTACAGATAGTCCCCCTGATTTCTGGTGACATAACTTTGTATTACCGGAAAGTTGGTAGAAACACTCTTTTGGCGAAAATTACTATAATTATGTCTGAAGGCTTCTGACGGTTGATTAGACGCATGTCTCTCCGCATTTAATGCCTCGAACATGCGTTGTCCCATAATTCAGCACAACTTTTGCTGATTATCGAGGTAATTATGGTCATGAATTTAGCCGCCAAAACTTTTATACACATCAACTTCCTCCCTTATACTTCATAATCTTTCAAGCTTCCTTTATCTAACTCGCATCTTGCTCTTCATCTTTTCTCTAATTCTCTTCAAACGAAAAACCTTCTCCTTCTTTCATACAATGGCTTGTTCCTCAAAACGTACAGTTTTTTCAAAAAACAAGAACAAGGCTGAGGAGTCTTCTCCTCCAACAGTGGGCTCTATCATCCCTAGAAGTCTTATTACCACAAAATATTTCGAAGAGAAATTTCCTACTGCTAACTCTCGTACTTGGGCCGTTAGTAGGTATCCTTCTTCCATACGTCCTTCGAGCATTCCTACTGTGGAGGAAGATTGTCGCTGCCATGACTTGAAAATTATTGCTCTTGATCTATCGAAGCGAGTCACCCTACCCAAGGAGGGTTTTACATATGTTTACACATATCCCTTTACTTTGGGTTCATTCTCTTTGAGCGGAGATCTTGGCTCCGTGATTGCGGAGTTTTGCCTCCGCTACCAAGTGTGTTTGGCACAAGTAAGCCCTTCTGTGTAGATGACAGTTGCTTGCCTTCGGCGTTTGTGCCAGGAAACTGGAGAGGATCTAACCTTATGAATCTTTATTCTCCCAAAATCTTCTGCGGGGGAATGATAAACCTCTGCAAGCGTGTCCACCATGCTTTGTTGTCTAGCATGGATGATGAAAACGACTATGGGTGGATGCAAAAGATCATTACAGTTGCCACCAATGACATCATTCCGGCAACGGCTTCATCCTTTTCGACCGCTTGGAACCGCACTCGTAAGCTCTTTGTTTAGTATTCCCTTTTACTAAATATTTTTCTATAGCCGTATTGATCCCACATCCTTTGTTTGTCTCAACAACTCGATAGATCCCACCGGTGATTGAAGGTTTAGGGGCCAGTTCTTTCCAGAAGCGAGTCTCGGGCCAGTTGTTTCAATTTTTCATGTGAAGAACTCGATTGATCTTTTCTAACCTATCTATGAAATTAGGTCTACCCGCGGGCTCTGTTGCTATTCCCGAGGAAGATTTCTTGGCTGATTCTGCTAATGCAGCATGGTTTCTTTAGGAGGAGCTTACTCGAACAGGTGGATCCGGTCCTGCTTTAAGAGCAAATATTTCTTTTCGGAGTCTCAGGCTCGAAGACAAACAGCCAAAGAGAAGATGCTCCTCTGCATTCGGGGAAAAGAATAAGAGGGCGAGGATCGATACCCCCGAGTCATCTACAGTAGCGATGGTGACTGGCCCTTTTTCTGGGCCGTTCATAGACACCATGACGATCAACGATAATGAAAAAGCTGGTGATTAGGGAGCTTCTCTACATAGAAGACGACGATCCTCATCATCTCAACAGAATGCTCAACCTGCTGAGAGGGCTACACCAACCGAGGACGATGCCTCGACACTTTGGGGAGAATTTGATTTGGTAGATAATGTCAACTCCCATTTTCGAGCCCCAACTGTTGTGTCTGGTACTGCGGGGCTGAGTACCGGGCCCTTGCCGTCTTTGGTTGGCGAGCATCCAACAACCAGCACTGCATTTGATGCAGCTGCTTCTCACTCTTCAACTCCATTAGCTTCATCTCCATCTTCACCAACACCAGCAACTGCTACATCACTTCCATCTTCATCTACTCTTCCACCAACAATTGATACATCACCTCCACCGGCCGCACTTGACCGTGAAGAATGTATTCCACTTCCACAGTCCCCGGTTCATGGAAATTTAGGGTAAAATTATGATGCCCCTTCTGAAGATACACGATGGAGAAGGAACGTTACTCTTTTGATCTCTACCGGATGCAACTTTTTATCCCGACCGGTAAAGCTTGCTAATTATCTGAAGCCGTTGGCTTCAGAGAAAGACTGGGAAAAATTCAGGCACTCTGAGGAGAATGTTTGTTGAATAACGCCATGCACAATGCTGCAACAGTACATTCCTTTCTTCCTTTATTAATTCTTCTATTTTCGGGTGTGAACATATCCTAAATTTTAACCTTCTTACTTTGTAGGCCAACTTCCTTGCTTCTGAGGGTCTTCAGAGGTTGATTCATAAAAATGAAGAGATTACCTCCGCACGAGATCAGCTTTTGGCAGAGCATGAGCAATATGTTGCCCGCATTTCAGAACTGGAAGACAAATCCATTGAGGTTGTTGTATTGGAAGCTCATTTGCGGCAACATGAGCAAGAAGTGGTAACCCTTAAACAAGAAATTGACCCACTGAGGGTTAGATTTGTCGAAGCCAGGGTCAAATATGTTGAAGTCCATAACTCCGTTCTTGCTGCAACCGAACGTGAGGCTACCTCCACTGAAAGAGTGATTAACTTAGAGGCAGCTTTGAACTCCAAAATTGAAAAGATTGTTGTTGTGGGGGCGAAAAATGCCCAGTTGGAAGAGAAGCACAGGAAAATTATCGAGCATAATAGGCTTTTTAGTTCAACGGTCCGCAACCTTGATGTTAGCCTCAAATCTGCTAGGTCCGCCCAGGAAAACCTTTCTGCTGAGGTAATATTTAATCTTAAAATCTAGCACATTTAAAGGAATTACTAGTGCGTCGTTGTGTGGTAGCAGCAATCCATCACCGTTCTCCTCCGTAAAAGTGATATCGTCTTCCCGAAGCCTTTTGCTATGCGTTATTGATACTTTCTTCTTCTTTGTTGCTGAAAATGTGACCCCATTAATCTCGTTCCCTACGAAAATCTTGTTAATTATTTGACGCGAGTGATATTCTCCTGCTTTCGAGGGTTTAGTGTTGTCTCAGTTACGACCATAATTGTTCTTAGCTCGGTCACTTAAGAGTGATCTGAGTTGACCATTCTTCAGTAATGTTATCACTTCTTCCCGGAGATGTCGACAGTCCCCTGTTCGGTGACCATTCATCCCGTAGTATTCACACCACAAGTTAGGATCCCTC